GGAAGGAATCGCCCCGCACTACCTGAGGACATGGTTTTGCGTAGATGTGGTGGCCTCCCTCCCTTACGAGTGGATATTCAAAGCCTCTACTCTCGAGGGCGTACAGCTCCTTTCGAGTCGTCAAATTTGCTCGGCTCTTGAGGGTTTATACGTCTTTTACGAGTGCTGAAACTAAAACGGATAATTTCGAAGGTCTCTCATCGTGGTTCCTATGCGGACATCATTCATATCATCCTCTCAGGTTGAAGAGTATATCAACTCCGAAGTGTTATCAATGCTATTACAACTGCTCCGCCTAGTAACTCTAGTGGTTTTCATCGCGCATTGGGTAGCCTGCATCTGGTACGCCTTAGCCGACACCGAGCCAAACACTGACTTTACATGGCTCGATCGGTTCGACTATAGGGATGCGCCGGCTGGGGATAAGTACATCGCTGCTATGTATTGGTCCTTCGCGACGATGACTACGGTGGGCTATGGTGATATATATCCGGTCAACTCGAGAGAACAAGTTTTTGGAGTGGTCACCATGTTGTTGGCATGCGGTGTTTTCGCATTTTTCGTGGGGGCGATCGGTTCGGTCGTGAGGAAACTGGACGCGAACGCTGCAGCTTTTCGCATGAAGAAAAAGGCTGTGAATCAGTACTTCAGACAACGACGTTTGCCGAAACCGTTGCAAGTAAGAGTGCGACGATATTTGGAATTCGTGTGGGAATATGGCAAAGATGTGACTTCGGATGAAACCGAGGTGATGAGTATCCTGAGTCCACCCTTACGAACAGAGGTGATGCTCCATCTGGTCGGCGGTGTGATTCGCTCCGCACCGTTTTTTGCAAATGTCCCGTTGTCCATGCTGAAGAAAATCTGTCAAGTGGTGACGCGGGAAACGCACGCGCCAGGTGACATCATTTTTGAGGAAGGAGAATGGGCGAGTTCTATGTACTTTATTATCAAGGGCAAGGTTAAACTAGTGTCGAGATCAAATGCAGGAGCTACGATTGGGTACCTCTCGGAAGGCGGCTACTTCGGGGAAGTGGCTCTGTTTATGGAAACGTCTCGATCGGTCTCGGCCAAGTGTTTGTCATTCTGCGATACTATATGTTTGAGTCGACAGAGTCTGGTGGACCTGTTGGTGATATACCCAAAATTCCGAGATAAATATGATGCCCTGTGTCGAGAGGTTCTGAGTGGGGACGTACGAGGACTGTGCTTACAGTGTATACATTGTGGGAAAAGCGGCCATCTCAGCGATATGTAATACTCATTGGTGATTGCTATACTGATATTCACATTGGAGTTTCACCCGTGAAGTGAAAACATATTTCACGACTATTGCATAGCGCGAATTCCGGAGTATTACATATCGTCGCGTAAAACGGGTGAGACTCCAATATAAGCAATTGGTATCATAAATGGTATAGTATACTCACAAAGAATGGAGTTTCATCCGTCTTACGTGAAGTGGCGTAATACTCCGTGTGAAGAACCTGATATTCCCGCTATGCGGTAGTCGTGAAATATATTTTTCTCACATATCACCGGTGAAACTCCACTTTACCTCATATCAAGATGAATTGATGGTATGACATATTGAAACCAGTGTTGGAATATATGCTCGTTTGCCTCAGCTGAGCTCAAGAGTTTTCTCACTAATAATAAAGATATATACACGAATTTGGGTATGAGTGTTCAACAACCCTCTCTCGAAATTTCCTCAAATTTTTCATATTGTCATC